GAGAGAGAGAGAGAGAGAGAGAGAGAGAGAGAGAGAGAGAGAGAGACTGGATCGTAAAAGGCGAGGTGGAAGTCACTTCTGATTTCGTTGTTGCCGGGCTAACTTACCTGCCCGGAGTCACGTCGTGAAATCCAGCCGACCCGGGAGGACGAGAACACTCCCGTCGCCCGCGAACGCGAGCGACTGTAGGCGTGATGTTAACTTCGAGTTTTACACAGATATCAGTTGTTTCGTGTATAATCGACCTCACGATTAGTAAACATTTGGAGCCAATTTTTCAATAGTAGCCTGAAGCAGGATCATCTCGTGGATTTCAAGATTGTTTATTGCATTATCCATGTGATGTAAACACTGCCCTTTTTTTCCTGTAGACAATGCAAAGTACGTGGGATATGAATAAAAATTTGAAATATTAAACAGCACTATTAAAATATACGGAAAGGAGTAATTAAATTATGAGGCAGTTGCAGTATCGGTTTTGCATATTAATTGTAAGTGCAATGTTTAAAGATGATAAGTTGCATGAAATTTTCATTTCATCGCGTGACAGATTTAACTCTGAAGAAGTAGTAATGTTACTGGAGAACTCTGTGGATTCTAACTTGTTTAGCGAAATTTACATTAAGATTCTTTAACGGTGAAATAAGAATATAAATTCTCTTTAATTTTTTAGCAAACCACAGTTCTTTAAACGATATGCATAGATCACTCATTGTCTACATAGATGATATCTTGTACGTAGTTTACGTTGCCTACGCGACTAGACGTAGAGTATCTTAATTTACGCGTAAATTTACGCATTTCTCACAACTCTAATTTAAACTTAGATTTAAATTTAAACAGTCAAAAAACAACACAAATCGTATACATTGTTAGGATAAATTTGAAACTTAAATCTAAGTTTAAGCTGTTATTGGAAACTCGATTCTTAATATCGTAAGAGAGACCGAGGCGTCAATAATATATTTGTGTACGCATTCTATGTTTTACGAGATCTAAAAATGGAAAAGAGGAGAAGATGTCTGCAGGCACTCTAGGATTTGAGATTTATTTATCTTTGCTTCATCCTTTAAATCATAAAATGTTCCACATTTTTCCAAAAAGCTGGGCATTTGCAAAGTTAAACTGATGTATATAATCTCGGCGCAAAGTGTGAAAATGTGCGAGTGGAATATTTCGTTCTCTCTTACGCGCGGGAATTTTCCTACGGCGTGAAGTCACGCGTAAAGGCGCCGTGCATTTTCGAGTCGCAGTGTGAAATTCTCGCGCGCATTCGTACAACGTGCGCGACACATCGGCAATATTTCATAATTAGTTGCGATTCAATTTGCACAACGGCGTTACGCGTGTATGCGTATATAGACGCGCTCACAAATGCGTATAAATATAGCGAGCAACCAGGAACAAGAGAAACAGGTTCCAGCCACGGTACCGTAGATCCTCGAGGCATCATTGAGCGAATGGTAACCAGCTGCGAACGCTGCCCGGGATTTCACTGTAAATGTCAACCTACGGCACGTAAACCGTCCCGCCGATTTAAAGGAAAGTCGTTCGGCCGAACGTGGAACCGTTGGCGCGCGCGAAGGGCTAGGAACGCGAAGAGGGTGTTCATTCAACGACGCTCGCTCAGGCGCGCACACCCCCCGGAGGATACTTTATCCTGGCGAGCGATCTCCCGTATCGCGGGTTAGGAAATACTGGACGGGATAGTGCCAGCAGAAATCATCTGCACTTCCTCAACTCTTTAGAGTGCAGATTTATGGAGAGTCGTATGAAATAAAACATGAGACATGAAATAAAAGAGAGAAACAGGACAGAAAAAGAAACAAATACCACTAAACAGATAGGCAGTATTTTTTCGTCTTTTGTCGATTATATTCCGCGAGATTATTTATCTAAAAAAAAAAATACCAATCCTTTCGGGATGACATTTTAAACAAGTGTAAAATAGCAAGAAAGTGTTGTAATCAATTAACTCTTGTCAGTTGATTTTATGTGAAATGAATTTTATATAAAATTCATTTATATTAGAATGCGACTGGAGATTGCTCGGTTGAATGGACAAGCAGCAATAGCGATATCTGGAAGAGATAGTACCGCAGGTTTATCTCGTTCTTCGGAGATTTTAATGCAAAAAGATTCACGCCACTGCGAGAGTCCTGCTCATTCAATACGATCGTTTTAATTCCAAAAGTCTCGAATGAAGATATTCTCGCGCGCGCGCGCGCCTTATGCCAATGTAGTCTCGTTACGCTTAAACAGAGATACTTGGCGGGCACATTAGAAAGTTCCGGACTTTATGAAAGTACATGAGCCCGAGCATCGTTAATTACCCGTGCTCACGAGTGCAAAGTGGTCTAACGTCTACGAGGACGCTAAAAGCCGCCCTCGCCACTGACGATCGGTCTAATTTACTTGATACGGTCCTGTGAAAATTGTCAGACTAAGATCGACAATTTCGCATTGTTCGCTTCCTATTTTCAATGGCGCCTGAAGTCCTTAACCCCTCGAGCTATTTATATTGTGTCGATATTCCGCGCCCATTATTTTCATATATGTAAATAAAAGAGTTATTTCCCACGAGATAACAAAGATTTCGGTCTGGTTTTGATCAAAGGAAGAATTCGTGGAAAGACAATCGAGTTTCCCCCCAAATTATACGCGTCTAATTAATATAAAGATTACTTTGCAATTCCTTCAAGAAACGTGTGGTCGCTTTGTGTTCCTTTGGAATCTTTTCAATGATGATTTAAAATGACTGCGCGATTTCTTCTAGGGCGGGTCTTCCTTTAAATAAGCATATTTGGATTTCTTTATTGTTATTTTCGTTGAAGAATTAAAAAAATAGGATATATATCTAATTTGTATTTGCTGTAAATTGAAAAAAATAGCTCAAGTAAATTAAAAGAAATTTAATATTTTATCACGAAACTTTTTCGGGTAAATTAATATTTACAACTTTAACAACTTTAACATTCAACTTAACATAAACTTTTATCTCTTTTTTAACCAAGAGTTAATTAATTAACTCGATTGCAAAAGTTGTAGGAATTAATTGATCGCAATTCCTCCTTGTCGTCTTGATCTTTTTTAGAAAGTCATTCCGGGAAGATACAATATCTTTCAGGAAAATAAACTCGGAATAATCGGCTCTGGCCCAACAATTATCGTACGTTTGTTGTGCGCCGCGACGAGGCGACTTGTTACTGAGCACTTAGGTGTTTTCGGCCATATTCGGCGATGCACCCGGGCGTCTTTACGGCCCAGGACTTGCCGGTAAGCCCCGGCCGTTCTCTCTTACTCCCTCTTTCGCTCTTCTCGAAACGTAATCGTTTTTGCAGCCGGTCCGGTTCTCGGCGTCACCGACCTACCGGAACGCGTCGCGTCGGGTTTGGACTGCACGTCCTACCAGGACCAGGTATGAAAAGACCAAACGGAAATTCTATCATGCTTTTCGTAGGCGCCTCCCGCGTTTATTATGCACCTGCGAGATCAACGAACTCACAGAAGCGAAATCATACTCCTCTACGTTCAAAGGTTCGCGGAGAAGGCGAGGAAACCTCTTGCCAATTTGCATAATTTGTCTCGGGATCGTTTTATTAAAATACACCGTCTTCGGCGCACGCGGAGTAACCTTCCATCGAGATTCCGCGTAATGGTGGTGGTATCTCATTGTGGATGCTGAGATATCAGCTACGTAGAGTCGCCGCAAGTCACCGAAGGAATCGAAGGAAGCGGCTTCCTCCTTAGCAACAGTCGGAAGCGGAAAATCGCCTTACCAAGTCCGGACCGATCGAACGCGAGCGTCGCACAGAATCTGCGTGACAATACGCGGGCACACGAAATTCGAATTCCACGTGCGAATCCGCAGTGCCACGAAGTAAATTCGTGCGACGCTGTCGCGAAGGTAGCTGTTTCTTGCGTGGATTTATCGAGAGGATCCCTGTGAGCTGGTCTTGAAGGCGACTCCTCTCTCGGAGAGGCGCAAGACAACATATCGAAAGAAAAATCCAAAAATATCCTCGGGGCCCGTTCACGATCCCATGCGAAGGAGAGCCCGGTTGAGATGAGAGGCAGACGGAGAGAGAGAGAGAGAGAGAGAGAGAGAGAGAGAGAGAGAGAGAGAGAGAATTAAGGCGCTGTATATCGTCGTGTATGACATTTTTCCCAATCTTAGTACTCATCAACTTTGCCAATTAATTTCTCACTTCGCGGGGCAGAGCGACGTTTATTTCTGCCAAATTCTTATTCTACGTGTAAAACGTGTCAATTGAGTATATTTTCATCGATATTCGAGGTGACGTGAATAAACTGAATAATTACCCAATATTTAATTAAATATTCGCTCCAAGCGCTGGCTCTTATTGACTCAATAATATGGTTTATTTAAGTTGTATACTTTGTGCGCAAGAGTCTTTGTAGGTAGAAAGAATTATGGTTGTTTTAGATATATCAAATGTTGGGTATACAGAATACAATGAATGAAAAACTTAGTCAGACAAAGGACTCCAATCATCAAGGTAATACTTATAGATTTACTACAAAATTTATAATAATGATAAATTGCTAAATAAAAGTATTTTTAATGATCATATTTTATCTATTTTTAGATGGCATTCCTACTACAGCTAGAGCAATTAAAATAATGAATATACAGAGTCCATATGTAATGAGAGCTTATAATATTGCAAAGCGGGAAGAGGAAATTAACAAAATCAATGCACAGTTATGTGATTTTATCCAAACTCATCCTCTGAAAGGCAGTGATACAAAACATCTTAATGTTGATGATGTAATTTCACTATATTTTATTGAATTTGAATTATATCGAATAGATCATTGATTTTGTTTATCTAAAATATTTTTACAGTTTCAAACAATAAGGAAATAGTAGATAAGAAGTTAGAATTTTATTAAATATTTTACAGTTTATTTAAAATTATCTTGAACACATATACTTGCATTTGTCCATTTTCAAAAATTTTAAGTTTCATATTTTTGTATTTATTGAAGAAGCTGCAAACTATTTAAAAAATTATAATTCAATTAAAAACATTCAAATTCATCTTCTTATAACTTTAATGTCTATCTATAATAGAACTATTGTTGATACATAATGTATCAACGTCTCTCAGAACTTTAAGATCTTTTAATTTAAATTTGTTGATGATGGATAGAGTTATTGCCCTAAGTAGTTAATCAAGTTAAAAAAATATAGATATATATTAAAACTATATTAAAATATATTAAAAAGATGTTATAACCCCTAGGATTATTCATATTGGTTTTCAAACATATTTTCTTTTTTTATCACTGAATAATTGTCAGATTACACGTGAAACAAAATAGTTGATATTTTTTTAGTTCTTGGAGAATGTCGTGGTAATTACGCGCAGTAGCACGATTGTATCGTGAACGCTTTTCTAATAAACGTCAGCATTGACCACTACAGATCACATTGACCCAATGACATGACTACATATCTGAACATAAAATTTTCCGCTCTTTTTATTTCTGCTGTCAAAAAAAGGGGTTCCTATTTAAGAAATCGAAGTGGACCTTGAAATACCTTGACAATGGCCGCCAAGATCAAAGTCAAGGTCACCTTCAGATACCCCTCTTCAAACCTTACAACTTTTGTTTGAAACATTTTTTCTGAAAATGCTTTTCTGAAGATATTTTCCCAGCAAACAATTTGTTACCAAATTGTCGCCAAATTGACACCAAATATGACCAAAACTTGATGGCAAATCCGATGCCATTTATGTCCGCAATATGCTTGGGTTTTGTTAGCAAAGCTTGGTGACAAAATCTAACGCCAAATTGTTGCTAAATATCGAGCAAAGTTTGGCGTCAAACTACGCCGCACAAACTTTGGCCGGTATTTGGCGTCAATTCGGTGTTAGATTTCATCAAGCTTTGTTCGGTATTTGGCATCAATTTGACGTCAAACTGCGCCGCACAAACCTTGCTCGGTATTTGGC